GAATTGGAAAAGACGAGATCAAATTATCCCTTTTTGCAGATGATATGATATTATATCTAAGAGACGCTGAAAATTCCACCAGAAAACTCCTAGAAATTATTAACACATTCAGTAAAGTGGCAGGTTACAAAATTAACCTATAAAAGTATGTAGCCTTTTTATATACCAATAGCAAGAAATCAGAGAAAGAACACAGGGAAACCCCCCCCCATTCACAATAGCTGCAAAAAAAAAAATAAAATATCTCGGAATAAACATGACCAAAGGCATTAAAAACCTCTACAATGAAAATTTTAAATCTTCAAAGAGATTGAGGAAGACATCAGAAGATGGAAGGACCTCTCATGCTCATGGATTAGAAGAATTAATATTGTGAAAATGACCATCCTACCAAAAGCCATTTATAGATTTAATGCAATGTCAATCAAAATCCCCATGACATTTTTCACAGAACTGGAAAAAACATCCTAAGATTCATATGGAAGCACAAAAGACCTCAGATAGCCACAGCAACCTGAGCACTAAGAGCAATGCTGGGGGGATTACTCTACCAGATTTTAAGATGTATTACAGAGCTATAGTCATAAAAACAACATGGTATTGGCAAAAAATAGACACAAAAATCAATGGAACAAAATTGAAGATCCATATATGAGTAATTGCAATTTCAGCCACCTGATATTTGACAAAGGGGCCAAGAATATTCACTGGAGGTAAGACAGCATGTTCAACAAATGGTGCTGGGAAAACTGGATCTCCACCTGTAGAGGAATGAAACTAAACCCCTATCTTTCACCTTGCACAAAAGTCAATTCCAAATGGATCAAAGACCTCAATGTAAAGCCTGAAACTGTGAAACTGTTAGAAGAAAACGTTGTCAAAAACCTACAAGATATAGGTATAGGAAAGGATTTTCTAAACTAGACATCAATTGCTCAGGAAACAAGGGCAAGAATTAACTAATGGGACCTCATTAAACTCAAAAGCTTCTGTAAATCAAAGGAGGCAACTAGGGAAGCAAACAGAAAACCCACAGAATGGGAGAAAATCTTCACCAGTGACACATCCAACAGAGGTTTATTATCCAGAATATATAATGAACTCAAAAAAACAGAGACTCAAGACAAGAGGTAACCCAATTAAAAGATGGGCTAAGGAGCTGAACAGAGAGTTCTCACAAGAAGTAAAAATGGCTCTGAAGCATCTTAAAAGATGTTCAACATCACTAATAATTAGGGAAATGCAAATTAAAACCACTTTAAGATTTCATCTTACCCCAGTCAGACTGGCTAAGATCAAGAGAACAAATGATTGGAAATGTTGGAGAGGATGTGGGGAAAGGGGAACACTCATCCACTGCTGGCGGGGCTGCAAACTTGTTCAACCCATATGGAAAGCAATGTGGAGAGCTCTTAAAACACTAAAAATGAACCTACCATTTGATAGAGTTATACCACTCCTTGGCATATACCCAATGATCTCATCCTATTGCAGAGACACTTGTATATCCATGTTTGTTGCTGCTCTTCTCACAGTAGCTAAGAGATGGAAGTAAACTAAGTGTCCCTCAATTGATGAGTGGATAATGAAAATGTGGTTCATTTATACAGTGGAGTTTTAATCAGCAGTAAAGAAAGATGAAATCATGAAATTTGTAGGTAAATGGATGGAACCAGAAACTGTTTTACTAAGTGAAGTAACACAGAGTCAGAAAAAAAATCGGCATATGTTCTCCCTCATATATGGATCCTAGAACTAAACCCTGATAAGTGATTATGTGTCCAGACATAACTACAGGAACCAGGATAATGGAAAGGAACCAGGGAGGTAAAGGAAAAGAAAGAACCCGAAAGAGAAGAACATTAGGAAACAGGCCTTAATAAGGGAGATATGGATAAAAATTGAGTTTAGTTTAAGGGAGGGGGGAAGGAAGGTTATATAAGGAACCTAGGAGATAACGGAAAAGAAAGAGCTCAAGAGAGGTAGGACCATAGGAGAAGGGTATTATTAAGGGAGAAAGGGGGGAAATGGGGGCACCTTAATTGGGGAAACCATGATGGAGGGGTGAGACAATACGAGAGGTAAATAATGCCTAGCTAGTTTTAAAAACCAGAGGGAACCATATTAGTCCAAGAACCTACTGACAAATTATACATAGCAGATCAAGAAATATATGTCTAGGTAAGATTTATCTGAGAACAATTGGTCTTTGCCCAAGATTTATCTACATGACACACAGTAA